TCAGGCCCATTATAGAGAACATTTGTCAACCCTCGCCCTACATCACTGTGATATACTCCTCTCTGATGATTCTCTAATAATAAAAGAAGGAAATAATTGTGGCTATTGAGAGGCATTCAATTTTCAAAATCCTCTTTGGCAATAGACTGGCTAGCATGCCCACACCCATTCTTGTTTCCTCCTCTGTGGTGTGGACTCTTAAACATTTAGTACTGAAAGAGACTTTGAGATCCTCAATCTGACTGTCCCCCATTACAGAGGAGACTCTGAGACTCAGAGAAGTTAATGATTTGCCTGATGTCACAAAGCTGGGACAAGCCAAGTCCTTTCATTCGTTGTGAGGTTCCCATGCCCCCTGGAATGCTTATTTCTGTATTGAAGGAGGTTGTTGAAGGGTTTATTCAACCCCATTATAACCCACTGCTCCCTTGGAGCTGACTTGGGTAAGTATAACCAAACCCTCCTCCGAAACAAGAATTCTCCATTGGGCTGTGTATCTGAGGCCCAGCCTCTCTGAGTAATTTCTGCTACCACTATACAAGGAGTGGGGAATTTCCCCTTCAATGCTCACATTCCTGCTTCCCCATCTCCCACATCCCCAAATAACCATTACAACATAGCACACAGGCAGCTGTTTGTTAAAGCTGTCAACCACAGAAGGGAATCCTGGGCCACCAACCAGCCCAAAGTTACAAAAGGTATAGCTTCATGGTTTCATATTACTCAGTTGGCTTGGCTTGCTCATGTGTGACTCAGGTTTCTAGAGGGATTCCTGCCTGGCCTCCTGTGTAAGCTGTCTTTTCTTGTAACCCAGCCCTGGAGTCCTTGCTCTTCTTCTTCAATTGTCCCTCACTTCTATTCCCAGGCCAAGGCACAAATGATTTCTCTCTCTCAGCCTTATTAACTTTTTAGGAAGAGGGTCTTTTTCCAGAGCTCCTAAATCTTCACCTGTTACAGGTCATAACTGCTCCTTTCAGCCTCCTAAGCCCCCAGGAATGCCCCCAACTGACCTCTCTGTTCAATCTCCTTTCAGACTTTGCAAGATACAATTTCCTCCTACTTTTTTGTGGGTGACTACCCAAGACCCCCTGGCCTCTGGTGTATTAATCCAAGGTCCTCCCTTCCTAAAATAACCTAAGAACTCTTTTCCCAAAGTTTCTCTGGTTGCTCACTCCTGCTACATACAGAACAAAGCAACATGGCTAACAGCAGATGGAGGGGACAAAGTGTCCCAGTAGAGGGTTTCTGACAGAGATGTGAGCTCCAGAAAGCCTGTTAGCACTGTGATGTTCTTCTTGGGCTTGCAATTTTGAGAACTGATGTTACAGTTCTGAACTTCCAGACCTGACAGACAGAATTGAATTGACTTTGAATTTTAATACAAAGAGAAATCTAGATGCATAGGTTTAATATAGTTTGAATTCTTTTTCAATTTTAGAGGGAAAGTACTTAGATTCGCATCTTCTCCTTTAACTCCTTCTTTCAAGCATGTATTGCAATAGTACTTTAAAACCATTTTAAATTTTAGAATAAAAATTATTATTCCTCTAAATTAACAGACTTTAAATTTTTTTTAAAGATTTTATTTATTTATTTGAGAGAGACACAGCGAGAGAGGGAACACAAGCAGGGGGAGTGGAAGAGGGAGAAGCAGGCTTCCCACTGAGCAGGGAGCCCGATGCGGGGCTCTATCCCAGGACCCTGGGACCATGACCCGAGCGAAAGGCAGACGCTTAACGACTGAGCCACCCAGGCGCCCTAACAGTCTTTAAATTTTATAAATTAGCAGAGCCTTGTTCTCAAATTCTTAGCAGATTCCCCTTATATAAAATAAATAAAAGTCAGTTTGCTGGGAAGGAGGAGGAGGGCAGCCTTTGAGATATTTCTGCAGTGAACATATCTTCAAACACACTATTTTAGAATATAACCATACTTTATTGAATCTAAGACACCAACTACTGTTAAGACATACCATGTAGCACCAAGAAAGAAAAAGCATTGCCACTTAATCTGTGGCATGCCACTGATTGATTATAATACACAAGCCAATCTCAGAGATGTTAAAATGCGGTCATTGTGTAGCTTGGATTGATGATTTATAGTAGTATAAATAAATATAAATATAAATCATGTTCATTTATTCTCATGGTCGATCTGAAAGTTAAATTTAAGTGAAGCAGCAACACTAGTTTCACATACATGCTAGTTCTCATTTATTGGGCACTAAGTGCTCTGCCCCAGACAAATGCCAACTGGAAGGTTGCCTTTGCACTCCTGACCTTCCTTCCATTTCTTAATATTCTCATTTACTGAGTACTTGCCAAGTGCTGAGTGGAGTACATGGGTTATCTCATTTAATCCTGATGAGAACACTCCAGGATAGGCACTATTCTCCTACTTTATAGAGGTAGAAATTGAAGCTCAGGGAAGTTCAGTGACTTGGCCAAAGTCATACAACTAGTAAATGTAGCAGATCAGATATGATGACTTCAAAGCTCATGCTTGTTCTACTATAGAATTTTTTAGAATTAAAGCATTCTCAAAGTTGAGAGGGACTTAGAAGTCATTGCTCCTCCAACCAAGAATCCCTCTGTCCAGCATCCCTAACAGATGATGTTTTCAGTGTATCTGACCAGATAGCTAAGAGTCTACCCAAACCAGTAATTATCAAAGCATCCGGGAAGCTTTTTTAAAATGCAAATTCCTGGGCCTCTCTTCCAAGGTTTTTTTTTTTTTTTATTTAATAGGTCTGAAGTGAGGCCTAGATATCTGTATCTTTGGAAAGCACACCCAGATAATTCTGATACATGGGCAAGTTTGTAAACCATTAATGTAATCTCACAAAGCCTTAGATGGAAACCACTGTTGGAAGAAGAAGTTGAATTTCAGCCTCATCAAGGAAGTAGTGACTTCTGTACAAAAGAAGAATGATGCCACAGTTCTCTGTTGGTTAGAATAATCTAACACTGAAACATGAGTAACAAACTATAGAAATGATCCCTGAAAGTATAGTCTTTAACACTGAAACATGAGTAAGGAAAACACCCACAGGAAACCCCACTTGAACCATTGAACCCTACATGCTTTGGGTAAGGCTAATTCCTTTCACCAACCAAATCTCCGCCAGACCCACTCCTGGGTGCTATCAGGAAGAAAGACATCATTGCTAGTTAAGATGTGATGTGTTCCCAGGCCAAGCCCAAAATGCATTATTTCCTAAGGATGGTTCTGCCCCATTCTCAGCCCCTCCCACTCTCATTGGCTTTTCCATGACCAGGGATTAGAAGCTGATGTCTTACTCCTAATAAATCAGCCCTAGAAATTTTATATAAAGAGATATGAGAGTTTCCTGTCACAGTGGGGGGAGGGAAGAAAAAGGAGGCCCGGATGCAAACTGAGGGCAGCTGAGTACTTGGCAGGTATACTGCAGGGAGCCTTGAAGCATTAGATGGGGTGGGGGTGCACTGCTTTCAAAATAACTAAAGTAAACTTCCTATCCAACTCTCTAATTCAGCAAATCTCAAGTCCGCTAGGATTTCATCCAGCATTGGCTCTGAAATCTGTACAGCACACTGCCCAATAGAACTTTCTATGATGATAGAAACATTCTAGATCTGTACAGTTTAATCTGGCAGACATATCCACATGTCACTATTAAGCACTTGGAATATGGCTAGGATGACTGAGGAAAGAAATTTTTTATTTTATTTAATTTTAATTTCAATTTAAATAGCCCATGTGATTAGTGGCTACCATACTGGACAGTGCAGTTCTAGAGGGACTACCCTAGCCTTGTCTTGGACTTTGTGATCAGAGCTTCCTATTCAACACCAGCTTTTAGGAAAGCACCAAAGTACAAAGATTGAGAAGATAAAATATGTCAGGGGGGAGCACCATGAGGGAACCATGATATAAATCAGCATCTGCCCAGTATTCTTAGCCACCTTAGGGATAAGGCAGAAATGACTTCAGGGATAACCCAAGCAAACTGTAAAGATTCCAGTTATTAAAGTCCATCCCAAAACAGCTGATCAAAGGCCAACTGCAGGGTGTCGTGTGATTTCCTTGCAACTCCTCTCAAGCTCTGCATATGACAGTGACAATTTTTACTTTCTTCTCTTCCTCCAATCAACTCACACTCACTTTCTTCTAATTGTTTCTATGCTTCATTACCCACCCTCTTTCACCAGCCAGTCTTGCTTATATCTTAAGTCCAAGGAATTGCACAACTTGGCCAATCTGGTCAACCAGTCATTTTGGTGAGAACTCTGAGTTGAGATGGTCACTGGACTGAACTGATAAGCCAGCCAGAGCTCTGTGCTGATAGGATGGAAGGGGCTTCCCAGTTTCTATTCCATGCATGCACATGTCCTTTGACTGAGATAGTTCTGCCCATGTACAAGTATCAAGAAAAATACCTCTCAAATATACAAAATACAAAATCCTCCAAGAGATGAAGAAAAGTGTAGGAACAGTAGGGGGCTCCTCCTCCATCTATTCTATGAGTACTTATTGAGGTTCCCTTGTGTATCAGGCATTTCATTAGGCTCCCAAGGTGGGACAGACAAAGTCTCTCTATCATGGGACTCTTAAGGTAGTAAAAGAGCTATTTATTGAGTTTCCACCCCATAAGAGGTATCCATTTCTCATAACACTCCTGGAAGGTAAATATTACCATCCCCATTTTATATGTACAAAAGTGGTAGCTCAGATGTGCCCTAGATCACCTAGTCTGTGTGCTCTTTTTGCTTCTCCACACTGTCCACCTTGTACAGTCTCTTCCACCATGTATACCATGAAAGATTCCAAGCACTATTTATTTAAAGGCTATTCCTTTACCACAAGAGATTAAGGGTACCCAGGAGACCTGGTGAGCAGAAGACCCATTATCAGAGATTTAAGGCAGGAAGGTAGACTCAGTGCCTCCCAAAGCCAAGAAGAAAAGGGCCTCCTATGGAGAATATTGTAGTTAAGCAAGTAGTTTTTCAGAGAAAACTTACCGGCCACCATACCATACTTCGTCCTGCCAGGAAGAAGCCTCCAACAGTCCCACGATTACTGGAAAACATAGCCTGAGAAGGAAAGGTCAAAAATGTAATAGTAAACTAGAACAGAGCAACTTTGCCAGCCAAAAGGACACACCTCTCCCACCCCACCCCCATATACTTGCACTTTCTTTTACCCACTTCACGTGCCGAAACACATCCACTTTCTTTACACCCTTGAAGCTCCTCTATACTTAGATGAAGGAAGCAGGGACCTACATTTGACAGACAAGAAGACTGGAGCTCAGAAGGTTTAAAGAGCTTGCCCTGGTGCTAGCTCTGCAATGAGTTCACAGTATGGCTTCAAGCAAGTCACTCCACCTGGACCTGTTTGTCTGTCTGTTAAATAAGGGGAAATGGAACTTTTTATGCTTTTTTTACAAGCATACTCAAGATGCCTAATGAAATATCATTCTTTTTAAAAACACCATACCGTATGTGAATTATATATCTCAATAATGTTATCAAAACAAAAAAAAAAAGAAAAATGTTTTAGGAATGCATGGTGTTCATACTAAATACATTAAAGATGGAACATTCAAACTCAATTCAAAACTTTCCTCTCCAGGATGTAGGTAGGAGCTTGCTGGAAACATTACTTTTCAACGTACTGTGAGTACTAATGATGATTATTACGAATACAGAGGAAGGAGGGGATTCCTTCTGACTGGGGTGTCAGGAAAGGCACAGAAGGAGCAGCACTTCAGCAAGTCTTGAAGATAGAGTGGGATTGATTAGAGAAAAGAAGGAAAGGACATTTCAGACTGTGGGAACAGCATGAGCAATAACCCAGAGGTAGAACTGCAGCAGTGTGGGGAGGAAGGGAACAGTAAACAGTATTACCTGGTGAACCTGGCTGAGGCATATGAATGAGGAGAGGGGTGAGAAGTGAGGGCAGACCGCAGACCCTCAAATGCCAAGCTAAAAATTATAGGCTTTATTCCATAGGCAGTGGGGAGCCACTGAAGGTTTATGAGGAGAAGAATGACATGCATTTTCAATAAATGACCACCAGCACCCTTGGAATGTTGCCTCTCAACCTTCAGCTTATTCCTGGTCCAGCTCAGGCCCAGGCCTAGTCCTCCAGCTCAAAATTGGGACAGTGTCTCTGCCTGTGGCCTCCTTCCCCCTCCCTCTTTCTTTTTTTTTTTTAATTTAAATTCAATTAGCCAAGGTTTAGAGTACAGCCCTCCCTCTTTCTATGTCAATGGCCTTCCCTTAGCTGATCACTTGCTAATCTCCCTGAAAATATTAATGGCCTATAATGACTTAAGCCTTGTCAAAGGTGTTTGCATTTTCACACATGACCCCTGAGGCCAAAGAGCATCACTGGTCCAAAGGAATTAATCTCAGATGGTTACATTTCAGACACTTCGACTCACCATTTATTCAGCATGTCTACAACAGATAGCGTGTTGCTGAGTGCTCAGACTCCAAAGATGGACTGGACTCAGTCCTTTAGGAAGCAGGGTCATTCACACATCCAACAATCCACATAGATTTTTTGTTGTTGTTGTTTGTTGTTTTTTTATTTTTTTATTCTTATGTTAATCCCCATACATTACATCATTAGTTTTAGATGAAGTGTTCCATGATTCATTGTTTGTGCATAACACCCAGTGCTCCATGCAGAATGTGCCCTCCTCAATACCCACCACCAGGCTAACCCATCCTCCCACCCCCCTCCCCTCTAGAACCCCCTGTTTGTTTTTCAGAGTCCATCATCTCTCATGGTTCGTCTACCCCTCCGATTTCCCCCACTTCATTCTTCCCCTCCCGCTACCTTCTTCTTCTTCTTTTCTTCTTTTTTTTTTTTTCTTAACATATATTGCATTATTTGTTTAATCCACATAGATTGTTAAGCACACCTGTGTGCCAGGCAGTGCCAGGGAGAACACAGCTCAGATCTTTCTGGACTCCTGGCGGGGTCCTCCCTCCCATAGGACATACTGTTAGGGCTTCCGTAGTGGTTTTTCTAGGAATAGCAAAAGGACTAGCAGACCCAAGGAGCAAAGAAGGTAGCTAGGGGCTGAACAGAAATATGTCCCAAGGACTCAGGCTCTAGGAGTTTGCCAGGGAAAGGCCATTCTGAAAGTCACTCTGAAGTCAAAGCAGATTGACATGCCCTAGGTGGTACTGGAGGGACACAAAAAGTGGTTTTGGGGCCCAGACACAACATTTCCAAGTTGGTCTCAGAAATGAAGAGCTTAGAGGAAGAATATGATGGTAGAGACTAGAGTGGGGAACTGGATAATTCAGGAAAGATGTTGGGGATGGATGAAAGACAAGGAGAGAGTCTGCGTTGGTGGTATAGTGGTGAGCATAGCTGCCCTCCAAAAACAAGGAGAGGTGTATCTACACCAGGCCTTCTCTTCTCTGGAATGTTCATCCCCTCCTCTCCACAAGCCCAGACCCCACATACCGATCCTTCAAGACCCCTCAAATGTGACCTTCCCCATGAAACTTTACCTCACACTCCTCCACAGAAACTTCCTCCTCTGCTATGGCCTCCTCCCCTTCCCAAACAAAAATAATCTCTCTCTTCTGTGAACATCTAGAGAACTCCCTCCATACCTCATTCATAGCGCTTACATTTTTTTACTTTGTGTTACCATATTACAACTTTTTCCAGCTTTATTGAGGTACACTGACAAATAAAAATTGTTTATTTTTAAGGGATACAATGTGATATTTTGAAGTACATATTCATTGTCAGGGGCTAGGGGGTGGAGGAAATGGAGAGATGTTGATCAAAAGGTAAAAGGTAGGGGCGCCTGGGTGGCTCAGTTGGTTAAGCCTCCAACTCTTGGTTTTGCTCAGGTCATAAACTCAGGGTGGTGAGATGGAGCCCCAAGTTGGGCTCCACGCTCAGCGGGGAGTCTGCTCAAGATTCTCCCTCTCCCTCTGCCCCTCCCCCCCCGTGTGCTCACACACATGCTCTATCTCTCTCTCTAAAAATAAATAAATCTTTTTTTAAAAAAAAAGGTAAAAGGCAAAATTATAAGATGAATAAATTCTGGAGATCTAACTTACATCATGGTGACCATAGTTTAAAATACTGTATTGTATAGTTGGATGAGGCAGCCCTGGAAGAGGGTAAAACAGAACAAAATAATGTTGGAAGAGATGGGGATGGTGACAGAGGGACATTAGCTGTGGGTGCCTTTTCTAAGATGAGGAAGCACAATAGGCCAGGATTGCTCTGTCTGGGCAGCCCGGAGATCATGCAAGAGTCAAGATGCCTATCCCCAAACCAAGACAATTTGATACTCCAGTAGAAAAAAAGAGGCATGTAAACTGGAAGAAATCCAGCATGTGAAATGATCAGGGTCCAGAAGCACTGATTAATGGGGAGGATTAAATGTAGACAAATATTAGCAGGCTCATTAAGTAGCATTTAACAGGACAAGTGATACTGATTCACAGATATTTAAAAAGTGTAAACACCATAATCAACAGGACTGGCAGGGGCTAAAATAAGATTGGTTAGGGGAAGAGAGATTATCGGTGATTGTCTGGGAAACAGGCAGTATGGCACAGCTAGCAAATGATGGATTCACATCTTGGCTACAGCACTTATAAGCTGGGGAGGGGTTGGGGGAGGAAGGCAGGCAAGGTGGCAAAGCCCCTGGTTCTGTGGAAAACCAAGAGTCAAAAGACCTGAGTTCCAGGAACAATTCCATGTGTTGCAACCTTAGGCAAATCACAACCACATGGGGCTTCAGTTTCCTTCTCGTCAAAGGGGGATTAGCATTCCTCCCCTCCTTTTCTTGGGGCTTTTTGTGAAGATGTCCTACCCAGTTGATCCTTTTTGCCCATTTTACAATTCAGGGCCTGGCTCATAGCTTGGAGGGCAAATGATAAATAGTATTTAAAAAGACTCCCAGACTCCATAAAGAATTTTCAGGTTCATCTCTGCAGATCCTCACAACAACCTTGGGGAGTCATAAGAATAGATAAGATTGTACCTACTTACACCTAAGTAAACTGAGGCTGAGGTGGGTTTCCCAAGGTCGTAGAGCTAGAACCATGTCAAAGCCAGTAGTAAACTTGAGAATCCTGGCTCCTAGTTGGACACTTCTGGGAAGGTAAGACTATTGGGGAACAGTCAGTCACACTGACCCCTTGTGACACTCGGAGAGGCTTTTAGTCACATCTGGTTTCTATAATTACTTAAAAAACAAACAAACCAAAAAAATACTTCCTTTTACCTCTAAAAAAAAAACCTAAGCTAAACTAAACAAAACTCTGTAGCCATGGAAGGGTTAATGTCCACCCTCCTCCCCTCTAAATCAAGAGTTGAACCACCTGCTGACATCGCAGCCTCCTGGCCCAACATCCCAACCAAAGCCATTGAGAGTGTCTGAAATATGTTCACATTTATATTTTTTTAAGATTTATTTATTTATGAGAGAGAGAGAGCGTGCGCATGCACGACTAGGGGGAGGAGCAGAGGGAATGAATCCTCAAGCAGACTCCCAGAGTGCAGAGCCCGGAGCCCAGAGTCCAAAGACGGCTCAATCCCACGACCCAAGAGAACATGACCTGAGCCGAAACCAAAAGTCGGTGGCTCAACTGACTGAGCCACCCAGGCGCCCCTGGAATATGTGCACATTTAAAATACCTCATCTTCTAGTTGCTGGGTGTGCCAGAGCCTGTCATGGTAAAATTTCCAAGTTCCAATTTCCAAGGCTTCTAAGAACAAGTTTCTCTGGTTTGGTGCGTCCCCAGTCCCCAAAGGGAGCCACAGGCACTTCCCTCTCACCAGTACCAGGCCACCCTCCGGTTTTCCTCCTCCTCCTCCACCCAGCTTTGCCAACTCTCACTCATTCCAGCCCCTTGGCCTGCAGATCAGCATTTCCCAGAAGAACCCTGGCAGCACCCCTCCATTTGGGGCTGCCCCGCAGCCCCTGCAGCTGGCAAAGGCTTGTGTCCTCCCTGCTCTAAACTGTTGTGTGTGTGTGTTTTTTTCCCCCATCTAAAACTGTATGACTAAGAAGGGGCAGGATAGTCCTAGCCTCCTTGGGGCTTATCTCCCAAGCCCAGGGATCTTCCCTGCAGCCCCAAGCTGTCCCTCTCCTGCCCCTCACACTGGCCCCCAGCCTCTCCAATTCCCCACCCCCCGACCTCCTTCTCTGCTCACAGGCCAGGGTTATCCTCCGTGGATCTTCCTCGCCAGCTCCCGTGGGCACCCCTCTCCTTTCTGCTCATCCTTGCTTACCCCCCTCACCTCACACTGTGCCCCCGCCCCGAACTCCTCTCAAGCGCTTCCAAGTTATTTTCAACCCGCTCCACAAGACCCTTAAGCCCATCGTCCCCTCCTCACAGCTCACCGATGCCCTCGCTCCTCTCTGCACCCCCCTTGTCCCTCCTGGTGGCCCTTGCCCCCTCAGCCCGCGTCTCAGGGCCCCCACATACCCACAGCCCGACAGCCATCACCACGACAAAGTAGATGATGATGACAGAGATGTCGGCCGCATTGCGGATGCGCTCGTAGGTCGCGAGGGGTGCGGCAGTGGCGTTGGTCATGGGGCTCCAGGTGGTACTGTCCATGGCGGCGGCGGCGGCGGCGGCGGCGATGCGTCCCTCCCGCCCAGGCCCCTTGCTCCTTATACGGCCTCCGGGTTAATGATCAACCCCGGAGAGGCGGGGAGAGGGCACCCGCGAAGTCGCGTCCGGGCAGTGGAGCTCCTGCGCTGCGCCGTCGGGGAGCAGCCTTGGACGCAAACCGCACTGAAGGAGGAGCAGACGGAGCTGTTGGCAGAAGGGTGGCAGGCCGGCAGGTAAGGGCTGTTCCGTGAGTGGGGCGGGGCCGGCCAGGGGGTGGTGCCCGTCTAGCACAAAGGCCCGTTGTGCTCCCGCAGTGGGCACCTGGCCGGGCAGCCTGGCCTGCTCTGCCGAGGGGCAGAGAGGGTGCGGCTTCATTGAGGAACCAGGCTGCCTGGGGCCAGGGGCTTAGAGGCTTCAGGTCACCTGCCACAGGATCAGTACCAAGCCCTCTGTGGACAGGCTTCTCCATGTGTAAAATGGGTGCAGGACTGTTCCCAAGAATCAGCCAAGTTCTTGGTCTTTGTGGAGAAAAATCTGGGGAAGACCATTTGTCAAATATTGCTGGAAAGAAATTCAGAACAATTGCAGTCTCTTGGCCACAGGGACAGCCACCCACCTACCCACATTTCTGACTGCTCTGCGGTCCCCAGAGCCACTGTTACCCCCACTATAAGGAGGAAGAAAGAGAGACTGGGAGAAGGGATCCCACTGGGAGCTATTTCCTTGCCCTGCACCTCACCCAGTAATGAGATCTGAGGCAGGTAGGAGGGAAGATACTAGAGAATCCCTTCCATGGAGCTCACCAAGCGCAGACCCTTCCTGCGGACTCAGTCTTCCCATCTGAAAACACATGTCTAAGCCAAAAGTCAGGGCTCAACACAGAGATGGCTGAGAGAGGAGGCCTGACTCACCCAAGGTCACACAGTAAGCCAGTGACAGAGCTGGTCCTGCAGCCTAGGCAAGGGCAAGCCTAGTTCAGAGGAGGGTTGGAGATGCTCTCAGGGGTTGGCGCTGGAGGCCAAAGAGCAGCCACTTTGAAGAGGGGAGGCTTGTTGGGGTGATAAGGTACAGGGAGGGGGATGACCACATAAACCCTGCCAGGACTCTGTTCTGCCTCAGGCCCTCCCTGCCCAGCACTAGACCACCATCCAATGCCCGAAATGCCAGCAACCCATTCCTTTGTACCTCACTGCCTCTGAGGTCCGCTCCCCTTCTCCCTCATCAGCACATGCTCTTCCAATTGAGTCTGCAGTCAGAGAATCATTATTTGGGCAGCATCCATGTAGGTCTTCCCCATTTCCCCCCACCCATTGCCCAGAGCCCATCATAATGCCTGGCCACAGGGAACAGGAATTTCTCTACTGGAGAACCTGGAAGCAGGGGCTCTTCAACATGGATGCCTTCCAAAACTTCCAGCTCAGCATCAGCTGCAGCTTGGAGCAACTTGCCTTTCATCCATGTCCATCTGTTCCCAAATTCAGCAGAGCATTTTCACCTGGCTCTGACCAAGCAGAGCCCCTGCCCTCAGGGAACGTCTAGGCTGGTCTGGAAGTGAGCTCATCCACAGCAAAAGTCCAGCCCTGAACCCCCAGCTGCAGGCAGCCAGCCTATGCCAATCTCCAAAAGTGAAGTCTGGCAATGAGCAAATCTAAAAAGTGAGCAGGAGGAAGGACCTGAAGTAGGAGAGAAAGAGCTGTCCTCTGATCTTTCTCAGACAGAAGAACATGGCCAGAGAAGGAAAGGAATGGCATCTTGGAAGAGACCAGAAAATATATTCATTCATTCATTCATTCATTCATTCATTCTTGCAACAGAAGAACAGCTTCTATGTGCCAGGTCATGTGTGCCAATGCTGGGGATAAAGCTGTGCACAAGATTCACAGGGTTCTTGCCCTCACAAGGCTTCTAGCCTAATGGGGGAGATAGACCATCATCAAAAATGAGACAAATACCTATAAACTTAGCATTGTGATATGTGCTTTGAAAGAGACATACTAATGTTCCCAATGTGTGGCAAAGATTTTGACCTGGGAATGAGGTGGAGTTGGGGGAAGGCCTGGAAAGCTCTGGTTTGAAAAGGGCCATGACACAAAAACAGACATATAGACCAATGGAACAGAATAGAGAGCCCAGATATGGACTCTCAACTCTATGGTCAAATAATCTTCAACAAAGCAGGAAAAAATATGCAATGGGAAAAAGACAGTCTCTTCAATAAATGGTGCTGGGAAAATTGGACAGCCACA